TCTCTCTCTCTCTCTCTCTCTCTCTCTCTCTCCCCTCCTGGTTGTGTGTGAGAAAACTAGTGGTCAGGATGCATTGTGAATGCGGGGCTGGGATTCAACCGTGGTAGTTGAGCTTGAATCTGGGAACTTCTTCTGGATGGATGCTGGCCTGTTTGTGCTCTGTGTTGAGTTGGACAATACAGCCTTGCAGGGGTGGGGTGGATATCAGGATTGGTGTGCACTTGAGGCCGGTTCAAATCCATATCTACTGTTTCCACATCAAAACTGGATGTCTTTTCCTTTTTCTGTCTGCATTTTTTTTTAGTTGGTCTCGATGCTTAACTTCCAAAGTTCCAAACATATTTGCTGTGAGGTTCTGTTGAAATTGGGGTTAAAAGCTAGACTCTTTTTCCGGGCAGCCCCAGCATAAAAACAAAAAAAAGAGAAAAAGAGAAAAAGAAATCCAGATTTTTTTTTTTGTGTGTGTGTAGAATTGTGATGCGAACGACGTTTGGGTGAGGGTCATGCCAGGATCCCCAACGGAATTGAAGATAAGCCCCCCCCCTCTTTAGACCCCTTCACCCCCAACCAATTTATAACCCACCTTCTCCCTCCCCCCTTCTTCCCCCCCCCCCGGATTTGGGCTCCTCTGAGCATGTGCAGAAACCTTCCAACCCAAATAAAGAAGAGAAAAAAAGAAGGGCTGATATCTGCCTGCATAGGGCGCTCTGTGGAGGCGAACCTTGGGCAACTTTCCGGGGCTGCACGGCCAGGCGAGAGCGCCAAGTTGCCTACGTAAAAGGTTCAAAAAACAAGTTTAAACAACTTCATGAAATTTCTTTCATTGCACATGGACTGAAAAAGTAAAAATATAAAAATATATATTTCATTGCACTGTGTGGGCTATCTATCCGTCCTTTTTTTTTTTTTTTTTTTTTTTTTGCTCATTTACTGATGATCATTCGACCGATCAGGTGTCTGCATCTGTTTTACTTGGCTTCAAATACATTTGCTGTGAGATTTTTGAGACTGGGAAAGATGGGGGCTTCAACAGCAAACTTTGGTGATGATGGGAATTCAAAATCCGACGAGGAGGAGGAGGACAACGATGACGAGGCACAGAAGGGTATCAGTCGTGCGGTCATTCTCGTTGCGAGTCAGGTACATTTCTCTCTCCAAGTTTTTTTTTTTTGTGTGTGTGTCATTCCTGCTGCATTGTGGAGGCATTAGAGCAACAAAAGAAGGAGAAAAAAAAACAGTGTCGCTTAGATGCAGCATTGATGGCTAGGCTTTTTCGTTGAAAGGCATTTATTAAACTGTGAGATATCTCTGATAATAATACTTGAAAGGAAACTGAGGGTCTCACGTAAGCGTCCCACGTGACCCCCCCCCGTTCACAGTGTTGGAAAATTACGAAAAATGGGCCCATGGCCCTTGTGGAGAGCGGCCAATCAGGCCCCGATCGCGCGACTTTTGTTTCCAGTTTGGCGGCGAGTGTTCGAACATCATTTTTCCACGGTTCTTTTTTCCGCGCCTGACTATCGTTTCGAGTCCGGCGGTGAGTGTTCAAATAATGCTTTCCCGCTATTTTTTTTTTGAGTCTGGCGGTGACTGTTCGGGCCGAGGTTGGTTCGGGCCTGTGTGAATGGAATGGATTTTGGGCGGCGCGAAACGGTCGGCCCGGTGCAAAACGGGAGGGCTGTGGGAAAGTGTATATTTCCGTGTTCTAGCGGAAGATTCATTCGATTTTGCTCATCCTATCGATGGAAGTAGCGTGAGGCCAGCCGCGAGGTTGGAGACTTACTGTTCTCCCTCCCTATCTTTTTTGTGTCTCTCTCTCTCTCTCACACACACAAAAAAAAGAAGTGGCAGTGTATATTTCCATGTTCTAGCGGGAGATTCATTCCGGTTTTGCTCATCCTATCGAGTAGCCTCTCTCTATGTTTCTGCCCGCATGGCTCGAAAGCAGTGTATATTTCCATATTCTAGTGGAAGATTCATTCCGATTTTGCTCATCCTATCAATGCAAGTAGCTTGTCTCTATCTCTCT